TACACAGCATAATTTCCATGATATTTCGAAAACTTTTTTTTTAACGAGAATAGCTACAAGCCAAAAATAAACCGGAATGGGGGACTGTCCAACATTTACGAGGAGTTCCCTTTCCACGGTGATTTTGTGAACATCAGGCCCAGGTGGTCCCACACCGATTGCTTGGTGATTTCAAGAATCCACAAAGCAACGGTGACTGGCCTTTCTTTGATTATTTGCGTGCCTTGGGGCCTCGAACTTCAGTAGGGCTTTGAAGACATTTGATCGGATATTCACAAAAACTTTTAAGTAAAATTCAGCCTCTAAAGAAAGCTGTACCGCCGAAATCTTAGCCAGGAAATTTTTTATAAAAGCTCGTTAGAGTTCAAGAGATAAATCACATCAATCACAGTCATGCCAAGGTTTATGGGAGCCCGTACGTGGATTCACATAACATATCATAGTGAAGAATCCTGAATATACTGCTACTACATAGTTAAATTACCTTCTTCGATCAGTTTCATTAGTTAACTATTAAAACGAAATATTGCCTATACGAAAGACGCCCATTAATGTAAGCCATATGTAGTTAACAAAAAGTAAGACAGACTTTCTGTTCCATGAAAAGTTAAATGGGACGAATTCTGCTTCGGCCCACAGACACAAATTGACATTTTTGCAGATATCCACTTTTTTTAGGACTCACTGAACCTGCCTCAGTACAAAATCCACCTCAAATTAACAAGTATGAAGGATCCGAAAAGCCTCGCCTCAGTACAAAATCCACCTCAAATTAACAAGTATGAAGGATCCGAAAAGCCTCGTCACTCCTGGGAGACAGCCATGTCTATGGTGGAACGCTCTGGGTGGGTTTAAACATTTTGAGAATTCTCTGTTGAGTTGCTAAAGGGCTAGAAATTAATCATGGGCCATGCTCAAAGACTAGTCTCGAACGTGTTCAGCTCTCAGGAAAGGCGGTGATGTCGGAACGTGGGGTGTAGGCGATAACACTGTTTAAAGTCGGAAATCCTCAAGGTATCCCTCTCCCGGATACGGATAATATAATACATTAAGCATCCTCAATACCTCGTAGTTGATGGGAAAGCGATCAGTAGAAGACGTCGGGGTACGAAGAATGAGTAGCATTCACTAAGTTAATCCGTTTTTTTTTCTTGCGACTTACTCAATTAGAGAAAGATGGGAAAAGAGTTTCTGCATCTCGGGTGCAGGTGGATTTGGAAGTAGCTGTAGCAATAATCATGAAAATGGTAAGCATCCCTCATCTTGAAGGAGGATAAGCCTAATTCGACCTATTGGACTCAGTGCCATCCGATCCCAAGAAAAAAGATTAAACTATTAGATGGCAGGAAGTTTTTCTTCAAAAGAGGTAGGAAAGTTTCTCTTCAAAAGATCTAAGGCGTTACAAACTTTGTTATAAACAACGAAAACGTAATGGTAAGAGTGATAATCTGCCAAAACATTCTTTGGGCAATTAACATATGAGTAAATAAAGGCTTGCATGTTGGCTTTGGCAACATTATCGTAAATGATCGAACAACGCCAGTCCGTATGTACCGTCATATTCTAAGAGTGGTGCCAAGGGAAAAGACGTAAACATGTACTGTTTGTTTCAGTTTCACTACAATGGAAGGACCATTCCAACATGAGTTTCACAAGATGAGAGAGACATAGTTGCCGGTCACAACGGTTCGCCCCAGCATTTTTTAGAGAAAGACGTCCAAAATCACTACAAGTGTACCTACTGCATCACGAAGTGCGACGAGTTCATCTTCGGGGCCTATCAAAAATTACGAGGTTCGGCTGGCTCTCAGTTGCTCACCTACCGTACTCCACAGTTGCCCTTTTCAGTTACCATTTTCACTACTTAATCATTACTTTCGTAAAAGAAATCGCATGACCTGAGAATGGCAACCAATGAATTCCTTCAGGCACAGTCTCATGACATGTGGTCTGAAAGAATCAGTGGTTCGCTCAAGGATAAGAGTATGGCAGTCGCTGATTACCCTAGAGAATATAGCTCTGATACTTGATCCGCTTGGAAAATTCTAAAAACCTTTTCAAAAAGAAACTCTTCCTTTGCTAAAGGCATTTCTGTTGAAGTAATAGTAAAGTATTGCTAATATGTTGCCTCTGCCCTGACACGGCAACCGGATGGGACAGTGGTTTGACAAGAGGGCTTTCATAAAAAAAGGAAAAGATAGGCCTCGTGAAAACACTCCATGTGGAACCTTCACAGTTGATTGATGGGTGTATGGGTTGAAAGAGAAGCAGAAGTTGTTATAGCCGTGATTCCTATGCGCTTAGTTCGTTCCGTAGTCCCTTGTCCGAGAGTTTGGGATCTTTGCGGTATTTAGCAGAAAAGCACGGAGGACTAATAAGGGAGTAATCACGGAGCTGCTCCAAAATGGNCCGTCAACTCAATAATCGAAATTGGAAATAAACTACGAAAGTCCGCTGTTCTTTTAGACCTTGAACATCATACCCGATCTAACAATCTCTTTATGCAGTTTCAGGATTATTCGAGCATTGAGAGCTTCTCCTATGTTGATAGCATCCGTTGCCCAACTCCCATCGATTGGGGCGGAGAGTGGGACGCGCGTTGGTTCAACAACTATTCGCCCGGAAACGGTAGCCACGCGCACATGATTGTTCCCACTGGAGACGGGGCCACGCAACTTGTCTACCCAAGTACAGAAGCCCAGCCAGGTACTTAGTGGCAAGGAACGATCTGTTCAGTTTGGAAGGATCCTATTCAATTGATCGAACGTGACCTGATGAGTGCAATCGATTTCCAATCAATCGAAACCGAAAACACCAAAGGAGAAAACGGCGAACTCACGTCGAGCTGATCAGCTGGAAAAGTTAGGGCGACGACTCGGGCAGCGAAACTTTGAAGAAGTGCCGCAGCTCGGGCGAATTGGGGTGCCTGAAAGACGAGCTTGGGTTAACAATAAGAATCAATTTTTGCCAGCCACTTGTAAAAAAAGGGTCGATAACGTCATGATGGAACGACAGAAGGCTAATGGACTGCCATTTCCTCATGGCGATCCTCTCCGTGAACATTAGCGAAGACCTTAGGAGATGTCTTTCACAGGACGCTACGCTACAGCCTTGTGATCCCAGGAGATCTTACCTTGTGGACGAGCCCGTTCAATGAAGCAGTTGTGAGGGTGCAAATGTCATCGAGTTCCCAGACAAAGACTCTTGCGAAGTGGGTATCACCCGGTGAACATGAGCCTGTTTTCTTTTTCTTGGCTGATTTTCCACCTGAAATGTTTCTCAGATGAGGTCTCTTCTCCAAGCATCACCAACAATATCGATTCTAGCCACAAACCTTTCCGATCACATTTTAGCGTAAAGGCCGATAGCTCGGAAGAAACATCGGAAGAGAGCGCAGTGCCCTGAAAAAGCCGAACGGTTCAGAAATGTAGAATAACAAAAAATTGCTCGGTGGCATCTAAAAAACGTACCGTATACGCTGCTGTAGCGCCAGCCGCCAGTGCATTACCGTAATAGCCAGCTCGCATACCATTGTAATATTGTGGATTATAGGCAGAGTAATCAAAACTGGTTGGGTAGGAACTACCTGAAAAGGCATCACTGAGCAGAGAACAGCCAGCATTTGCCTCTTGAGGCTCTTGTCGAAGGCACCCATGCTCTTTAACTCATGGTTTGAGCTCCAAATCGATCGGATCGGGATCCCAAATGAGCTCGGCTACATTAGAAGGGGAATATGGCTAACCAGTAGGGCTAACCAAGCGGCTTATTTCCAAAAATCGAAATCGAAATGACCAAAGAGACTAGTAGAGCTAAAGTCTGGGGAAGGAGAAGGGGGAGGGGGGGCTTCTGGATTTGACGTCCGTCTCATTTCCAAGTGGTACTCGAGTATGTACCATTATCTTGGAGATCTGAATGCCAAAAAATGGACTGCGAAGGTTGGGCACTCACGACTGCCACCTCTTGAAAGACTTCATTCTCTTATTTCAGAATTCGATTCCCCTCTCAGGTTCTTTTCCATATCTAGCTCGTTAAAAATAAATAAATGACAGTTAACGGGTTGGCTTCGGACTCCCTACATTCAGAAGAAGAATAAGACAATACGATCCCATTCCCTTTCCCTTTCTGCAACATTTGATAGCGAAAAGAACCAAGCGGCGCCAAGCGGGACGTGAACCTTTCTGTTTTGTAAACAAAAATTGCGTAAACCACATAAACTTCGTTCCTCAAATAAACACACGCACCTCACGAACCGTGGGAACGTGCAGAAAAGTAAACCTACCGTAATAAGCGGACGGGGTCGCGGCACCGATGCCATAGGGAAATGGCGCATTCTGCGCTCGTAAACCGGTTGCTACCTAAAAACGATTTCTGAGAACCTGATCTCTAGAATATCAAGACGAGCTATGAATAGGTGTGGGCAGGAACAGACCTGCTGATAGTACGAAGCTGTGGCTGTGGTTCCACCGTACATACCATAACCACCTGCTCCATAGCCGCCATTATAGTAAGGGTTTTGAGCTGAAAGTAAAGCATTGGAGCAGAGAGTCATAAAGAGCAAAGCTGAATAGAACTCACTGAAAGCTGAGGTGGGATCAGTAATAGCTACCAGACCGGTAGGGGCCGGCATGTCCTTGGCTGTATCTGGTAGAATTGACCACACCGATGGCGCCACCAGGTCTGAGCTGGAATATTAACTGTCTGCTAACCTGGCAGAGATGAGGACCCTCAAGTGCCCTTGGATGACTACAATGAAGTAATTCAAGTAGGAAATGGGAAACTGATTCCATGCTAAGGACAGTATGGGTTGAATAAGCGTTCCCGAAAGCTGTGGAATCAGCAAGCAGGGATGGTTTCATCAGAACATAGACCATCAATTTTATATTCGTAAGGAATAAGAGGTATCCCTTTGGACTCGACTACTCATGGTCCTTCTTAGCTTAAGAATGGAGCTTTCCTCAATCAAGGCAGATTTTTCGAAAGAACCAACGCAGTGGCACGATCAACGTTGAGGAACCGATTTCTAGAGGTATGGGCCATAGCGAACGAGAGGACTTAAATGGCAAACTAGGAACACGAAAGATGAAAGCCGAAAAAAATAATCACTGCGAAGGTTCTCCTCGACCCAAACTTCGTTTACTGCCCCATATAAAGTGCTTCCTTGAACATTTAAAAATGCATTACGTTTATTCGTGGACGCTTTTCTGAATCCACCAAAAGTTCCGGACCCATATGCTCACGGAAAATGAGATTTTATGTGGCTAAGGTTAGGAAACGTAAGCACAGATCAAGGAAATTCAGACCTGCCTTGGAGATTTGTGACTGATCCCTCCCCTAACCCCTTCAGCACAAGATCTACATGGCCCTAGGCCGGCAGTTTTCTTTCCAGGATGCAGTTAGTTATCCTATGAGCGCTACAACTTCAAGTTTATTAGGACAGAACCTCCCTTCGAACGTTCCCCTCGTGAGGCTCAGTAAGCCAAGAAACCCCTGGGAAGATATCAAATGGAATTGATGATTGGACGGCCAGCTTGCACAAATACAGCTTGTAGTACTACGTTAAGCAAACAACACCATCTGGAGGAGACGGGCTGAGTTGATAGTCCTTTGTTAACCTTCGGAACAGGGTCGTCTTTATGTCCCTGGCAAGAAGTGGAATCGCCGGTAACAACGACTACTTACCTACAAAATCTTCTTTGACTAATGCCGACTAATTCAAATGATCATCTTTTCGAGAAATTTCCCAAAACAGGTAGTTGTTCAAAGTATTTCATTTCATGAAAAATTGTCCCCTTATAGCTATAGCGATCAGTGGGGAAATTCCCAAGTTCAAGGGCTATTGCGGTTAGGCGGCTGTTGAGAAAAATCCAAAAAAAACGAGGGGATTCGAAAGAAAAGTTACGAAAATAACCTACGTTGCGCCGTCTGCAGTTGCTAGAAATCGAGCGGATTTGATCTGAAATCGAGTAAATCAGCCAGATAGTGGGAGAATAGGCGAAGCAGAATGACAATAGACAGAGAAAGCACCACAATCAATGAGCATAATGGCTATATGTCATAATAAGCATGGCTAATTGCGCTTGCGGACTGAACGGTCGCTCTGCGCGCAAATTGCGACGCATCAACCAGGGGCGGGCACACCAACCACGTAGCGCAGGTGCTACGCTACGGGGGGCAGGGTACGGTAAAGGGGAGCACCACTTGAGTGACGACGATTCCGAACGTCGACCTCAACAGAAATCGTTGCGTCACTGACGACTTACTGGCTCAGTAACTAGCGCCAAGGACCAAAAATCGGTCAGACTAGAGGACCTTCTTTGGTCATTCTAGCAGGGCGACCGTTTTCAAGCGCTTTTCCAGAGCTAAAGGGTCCATAGGTAGTGCTGTGGCAATGGCTGTGGGAACGAGTGGTAAGAGTACTATAGTTGAACGGTTTTTAGTTGAAGAGCAACCTTTTTGAGCAGTGTTTTACTCTACAATCGTGTTCTTCATCGACCCGTCTACAAAGCCTAAAAAGAAAGGGAATGGGAGGTTGGCAAAGGGGAGGGAAGCCGTTCTAAAGTGAATGGGCTTCTAAGAAGAAAAAAGCCACCTCTCTATGATTTTTGAAAGAAATTTTCGATCATAATATTGCTGATTTGAATGGTTGCTGTCTCAAGAAAGAAGATTTGTATCCGCATCGACGGCTGAGGAGAGTTTTTCGATCTCGGTGTCCCAAAAAAGCGAAAAGTTAGGCCCAACCACCGCCCTGCCTTCTATTTTCCCAAGTAACCAAGTAACCAAGGGCAGATGTAATGCGATACAAGCACCCTGATTTTCTCGTCTCTCTCTGCTACTTACCGAACCCGCACTGGAGAATTCCATCGAGGTCAAACTAGCAAAGTGCAAGAGGTCCATAAAATGATTCTCAGGCATAGCCTCCCGATGGTCACTGCTCTTCCTTTCACATAAATATTCGTAAATGTTGGACAAACAAAATCCCTTCCCCGATGTAGATGTCGCTACTGACCTGCGAAGAATCCCAATCCCACAAATCAATTCGGTAGGCGGATTGCAACTTGAGATCGGCATGCATTACCCACTTGAGAGCAGTGTGTTGAGGCAAACGCAAACAAACCCATACTCGCTTAGCTACCCAAATGGGATAATCTCTCATGTGACTACCCCAGTGCCCTCCAATGCAGTCCGATTTACCCCATTTAACGAAATAAGAGGGGAGGAATCTTCGTTGATGGTCAAAAGCAGTTTTGACTGAGAGTTAGCCTTGTGGGGCTTTTTCCTGTCTCTTTGGGGTTCAGGGTGAGCATAAGCCACCCGAACATCAATGAGGATCGTCGACCGATATTACACTTGTGTAGAGGTTATCACAAAGTTAGCGGGACAGCAGACATGGCTTCATATTTCAAAAGGAGACGCCGTTTGGCCGCCGTCGGCGAAACAGAACTCCGAGGTGAGGTCGTCGCGATCCGTCAACCCGAAAGGAGCAGCTTCAATATGAGTTTTGGGTGGGTCATTCATGTCCCCATGGGTTCTCTTAGCTTTTCCAGGGTGTAATATGTATCGTTGACTGAAACTCTCAATGTCAATGCATCTTTTTGATAAAAACTGAAGAATCAAGAAAGAGTAGGCAATATTGAGGCAGCTGGGTGCTAGAGGAGGTAAAAGTCCGAATCTCGTAGGCAAATGAGTTGAAGTTGATATTTGGATATGGGGTCTGATTAGGTGACACCTGCCATACGGTCTGTCCGTCTCCGGTTTCACTTCGAACGTGCATAATTAATGATGCAACCAGAATAGTAACCCAGAACCATCCACGATGTCCTACATATATACACACAGAGACGCCAAAGGTAGTAAACAAGCATCGCCACAAAAAACAAAAACAAGGGTGTTCTAATGAGAAAGATTATTCGCAATAAATCGCAAGTATATTATATATCTAACTGTACAAGAAGGGCTACACAAAACTCTCTGATATCTACTGATAGGTAGCAGAAATTTAGAAGTTCCGAGTTGTTCAGTGAAGGTACTACTGTGTATTTATTACCTATTCTCTCAATTTCTATTTCGAGCAAATTCTGTATTTGACTGACCATTCAGAAGGATTCGATTCTCTTTAGTAAAGGGGACCGCTCTCCCCTATTGTCCCCCACCCTCCTTTTCATTTGGATCTCAAAGTAAAGGCGTGACACCGTAGGTACTGTTTACAAGTAAAATTATTTGTTCAGAGCCTAAGTGTCATTTCCATGGCCTACATAACGACAAGCTAGATTTCATAGCGCGCAGGTCAACTCGCAACTTGAGGTCGAAGCAGCTAGTTGAATACTGCTGAGTACTGTCAAGTCGGCTATTTTCGTTAGGTGCTCATGAACCAGAAGGGAAAAAGTAGCTTCTAGAGGGATGTTCCCTCCTCAGGAATGTACCGGGTTACTCGATCAATCGGAGCTTATCCAAAGTCAATGAAACAGGTTTCTAACCAGGCTCGTTGTTTCGTAAGTGAATAAGGATCGACGGTGTCAAAAAATTGCGGTTCTTGAGAAGAATTCAAGGGGCCCTAGAGTGATTTGGGTCAGACATTTTCCCTAATGGACTGTCCATTCACTGTGGGTGACCCATCCGACGTCGTGTTCGATTGATGTCAGTCAGCTTGTTCTCGCCACTGCTTTGTCACACCTGTCCGATCAATATTTGCTCAAACAGCTCTCACTCAACTTGCGCTCGCTCGCTCGCTCGCCGCCACCACCGCCGTCATCGTCGTTGTCGTCGCCGCTCCCGTCACACACGAACTACGGTAGCGCAAGTTGGGACATTAATTAATGGGAGGAATTCCCGACGGATGGAGGTTCACTAGAAATCTGAAGAGGGACCGCATATGCTAATGCTGGAGATCGAAGGAAGACGGGTGGTAAAGGCGAACTATGAGGGAAGCTATAACAATCGGGTTGCTCGGAATGCAGCCCATAGGAGAGAACGCTCATGATTCTACTGGAAAACGCTGATTTTATACGGCGGTCAGAACCAGTTTCACAAGAAGCCTCCAAATTCTTCACTATACATTCAGGTGCTACACGCCTAAATAGCTTCAGATGGAAAAGGCTTTGAATAACTTTCGGACTACTCCAACGCGCTCTTACACATAGTAGATTACTAAGAATGAATGCTTCTCGCAGTGGGTACGCCATGGTAGAGTTTACCAGAGACTTTCAGACTTTCAGCGCAGTGTCTCCCTTAAAAAGGGAGGAATAGCTCGGAAACGGTCCCAATATCCCTCATAAAGGCTGATAGGGAAGGTAGGGGTCTTCCAATATAAGTTTTTTTTTCTGAAAGGCAACCGACCACTCACATATCTATCTAATTCTATGAAGTTCTAATTTTTTGAGCTTCTGAAATAAAGCGCAAGCGGATCTTCAGTCCAATCCTAGGGAATAAAACGATGAAAAAGTCGCCTAAGCAGAGTGACAGTCGACTGGAAGCAGTTCTAGATAGCAGCACCGTCAATCGTGATTCGAAACAGAAAGCAGGAGGCACAACATGGGTGAAAACCTAACCTCCGGAAGATACAGGGAAGGAAAATTGTTTTGTAACTTAAGCAAGTTCCATCCCTTTGATAGAACAGGGACGTTTCTTCCA